CTCTCTCTCTCCATTTCTAATGCATCAGCAAATCCTATCGGCTCTACTGTGAGAACAGATTATGAATCTCATCACTTCTTACCTCTTCTGTGGAGCCTAAGCTGACATCACCTTCTGCCTGGGCCATCACAGGAGGTCTCCCTGCTCTCCCTCTCATCCACACAGGGACTGGGTGACTCTGGTCACCAGGGTCACCTGAGTGACGCTTCACCATGTCTAGAGCTGGCCCACCACACTCAGACTGACAGATCTGGCTGCTGGTACTCCTCAACTCGTTTCCCACCACTCTGCCCTGGCTCACAGCTCAGCCACCCTGGCCTTCCTACTCCCGGGAATGCCTCAGGTATAGCTTCTGCTCGGGCTTTACTCTCACCAGTACCTCTTCCTTCTTACTTTGAGACTCCTTCACACTTCCTTCAGGCCTCTGTTCCAATGTCACTTCCTCATAGAGGCCTCACAGCCACCTTCTCTAACAGTAACATCTTCCCCACACCCTACTTTGCTTGTGTCGTAGCACCTGGTATTGCCTGAGATTACACGTCTGTTCATCTATGTTACTGTTTCCCCCTCACAAGAATGTAAAGTTCCCGATAACAGGACCTTCTGTTTTGTTCACTGCTTTTAACCCAGCCCCAAGAGCAGTGCCTGGCACAGAGTGGGATGAATGACCACGGGATGCCCGCTGGAACATCACCTCTTACCACACAAATGTACGACCCTCCATGGCCATGAAGCCCTTGATCTCACTGGTAGCTGTGGCCAGGGTGGCTGGGGGAGGGTGGCCTAAGCTGCCCTGTCTTGGGATTTGGGCCTACAAAGGGTTTTGTTTCCCTACCTCTCACCTGGAGTGAGAGGGAATGGGTCACTCAGGCCAGGTGAGCAGAGGACTCCCCAGTAGGAAGGGCTGTTACTAAGGCAGCCCTGGATCTCTCGGACAGTGGATAGTGCCATGCTATTCACTAGACAGAGACGCCATACCAAGTCATGGAAAGGGTAGGCTGTAGAACTGACACACCCAGGTGTGAGCCCTGTCAGGGTAAATCCTGTTCTAACTCCCTGCACAGGGTGGCTCCAAGGGCAAGAGCTTTGGGATCAGAGACATCCAGAGAGTCTGCATCTCCTGTGTACTGTCTGCATGACCTGGGGAGGATGCTGACCCTCGCTGAGCCTCGATTTTCCCACCGAGAGATACCCTGCCCAACTGTTGGATGAGCTAAAAATGCACAAGAGCCTCTGGCCAGAGCAAACCTTGAAGGTCAGCTTTGTCCCCCTGGAAGAGTTCAGGCTTCAGGTGCTTTCTGGGGTACAAGGTTGACACTGGTCCTTCTGCTGCACTTGGAAGGAACAGGGGTGTGACCAGATCAAGAAAGTGCACGAGAGCACCCTTTTTCTTAGGGAAAAGACATACAGCATGATGATAATGGCCAAATGTGCTCAGTTATAAAAGCTACCTCCCTTTGTCTTTACTCTAAGTGGGAAAAAACAGGAATGTGGCTAATACAGAGTGGCCAATGAGCCAAAGTCATTTTCATGAGGTCCTGAAATATATCCTTATATTGGCCACAGATACATAGTCTTCATGGTGTTTGGCACAGGCTGTGTGACTGATAGCTAGTGACTGTCAGGGGGTAGGGCCAGCTCATGTGGAGAGGAACCTCACTGCCCCTTGGGAAGGAGGGACACAGTCCTATCGGGAGGTTAAGCAGGCAGCTGCAGATGGAGAGAGAAATCAGGAGACCCCACGCAATGAACGAACTTGCAAATTCAGTAACAGTCCCTTCTTAGGGCAAGTTTGATTAAAAACTATGGGTGCTCTCTTCAGAAAAATGCTCTGATTTAAAAGCACACAAAATTCTGCCTATAATTTCAAAGAGTCCATGGACCCCCTGGGATCTTTCAGTTAGGTACCACTGCCTTGGGGAGAGCCGGGAGCACCAGGGGATGGAAGGAGGACAGGAAAGCAGCTGGGCTGAGGGGAGCACAGGAGGGGAAACGGTGAGGCAAGGTGGCAGGGGAGCAGTTAGGGAAACTGCAGTTCTTTGTGAAGAGGTGGCTCATGACTGAGAAATAAAACTCCATGTGGCAGGAAGGCCACCCACTCGCAGGACACTAGTATATCTCCAAGTCTAGCAACAGGGAAAAGAGTGGGTGTGAAGGGGCTACCCTTTTTCTCTTTGAAAAACAAAACCAATTAACTGAGAGTCAGTCCTGTTATCTCAGCTGGTCTCCCTCTGACCTCTTTGCTAGCTCTTCTCCTAAGACCCAGATCTCAGTCGGCAGCCCTGAGGCCAAACTAGAGATAACTAATGGTGATCAAGATTAGTGGAGAGTGAGGATCCTGGGTGGCTCCTTCGGTTATGCCTCCTTCGGCTCAGGTCATGATCTCATAGCTTGTGAGTTCGAGCCCCACATCAGGTTCTGGGGAGCCTGACAACCCAGAGCCTGGAGCCTGCTTCGGATTCTGTGTCCCTCTCTCACTCTGCCCCTCCCTGCTCATTCTCTGTCTTTCTCTCTCTCTCTCCCAAGAATAAAACATTAAAAAAAAAAAAAAAAGATTAGCAGAGAGTACAAGGGAATCTAGTAGAAGGAAGCCAACTTATGGGTAAAAAAGTCCCATATGTTGCTGAATGAATTCCCCAAACCTTAAAAAAGAAAAAAAAAAAAACAAAAAACCAAATGTATTCTATAGGGAAAAAGAAATTTTTATTTTGAAAACAAAGTTTGGTTTTCAAAATAAAACATTTGCTGTTTCTCAAAAAGGTGCTGACATTTCGTGGATAAGGAGAATAAATTGCTGTCCCGCCTTCAGCTAGCCCTGTAAATAGGACCCAAAGAATCCAGGGATCCCCAAAGCAGCTATTAGCAGGCGGGGCTTCCTTCTAGATTGGTTGGGTCTAGCATGGGTCTCAAGTGTGGGCTGTTTGGAGTCAAGTTCCCAGAAACACTTTTTTTTTTTTTTTTTTTTTTTTTTTTTTTTTTTTGTAAACTGCAGCACCTGTAGGGAAAGCAGCAGGAAACGTGACCTGGGCAGGTGACAGCCCAGGTCACACACCACAGAGTACCTGGCGGCAGCAGCCCCTCTACCCAGAGCCTCAAAACATGGGTTTCAAGCCCGGCTCTGAACTGACCCATCAAATCCACTCCTTGGACTCAGATCCCTAGTGACAGATACATTCACAGAACTCCTCCAGGGAGACACACACACAATAGTCTTCCATTTCAGCTTTACTGCCGGCTATTGACAATTTAAGTTGTTTTGCCATTGTGTGTATATGTTTTTTAACTTTTCAGCGCTCTTTTTTCTTTTATTATTTTTTTTAAAGTTAAAAAAAAAATTTTTTTTAAATGTTTATTTACTTTTGAGAGAAAGAGAGAGAGAGACAGAGACATGAGCAGGGGAGGGGCAGAGAGAGAGGGAGACACAGAACCTGAAGCAGGCTCCAGGCTCTGAGCTGTCAGCACAGAGCCTGAAGTGGGGCTCGAACCCACAACTATGAGATCATGACCTGAGCTAAAGTCAGATACCTAACTGACTGAGCCACCTCAATGCTCTTTTTTCTTAAAAAAAAAGAAAAAAGAAAAGACTTTCTTTTTTTCCATTCCTAATATATCACGGATCTCAGTGTTTATGATCAGGAAATCAGATTATAAAGCCGAGAATGGGGACAAAGGTTCTACATCTTGTGGAATGGCAGGGAAACAGGTCAGGACTTTATACCCCAAGTGATCATATTCAGGAGTCAGAAGAGCAACAAAGTTGGTCTTTGAGTTGCCTTATTTGGACACCAGTTTTTCACGTGTCACTAAGAGTTACTAACCAGGCATTTCAAGAGCAAGAAATTATTTCCCCCACACAACCTTTTCAGACAGTTCCAGGCAAGTATCAAAAAAGAAGAAAGCACTCTGGATTGTGAATCCCACTACAGCATTCTGGCTCTAGCTTGGCCCTCAACAGACCAGGAAACCTCATGTAGGGCATGTTCCTTCTCAATGGCCTTGGTTTTCTACTCTTCAAAATGAGGGTGGTTGCCTAGATCATCCCAAGGTCTGTTCTACTTCTAAGGCTCTAATTCTAAACTTCACAAAGAAGAGAGAAAGAAGAGTCACAAACATACAGCCTGCTTTAGGATAAATCTCAACCCCTCACAGCTTGGCCTCCCCCTTTCCTCACTCAGAAACTCCACTCAGAGGGCGCGGAGTGGCTCAGGAGGTTAAGCGTCCGACTTTGGCTCAGGTCATGATCTCTCGGTTCATGGGTTCCAGCCCCATGTCGGGCTCTGTGCTGACGGCCTGGAACCTGGTGCCTGTTTCGGATTCTGTGTGTCCCTCTCTCTCTGCCCCTCTCTGCTTGTGCCCTCTCTCTTTCTCTCTCTTTTTCAAAAATAAATAAACATTAAAAAAAAAAAATGAAACTCCACTCAGACCAGGCAGCCCTCTGCCCCCACATTTCTTCCTCTCCCTCTGCTGTATTACAATTACTTTCTCTTCTTGCAGAGGTGGGCTTCTCCCCTCTACCCAAAGATGCAGCCCCAACTCACCTCCTCAGGGAAGTATCCCCACATGGACCCCGCTCTACTCCGTCCTCACCTCACCAAGGGTCTGACCTGCCAGCACTGACACTTGTCTGCTGCAGCTTGTAAAATACTATGTAGTCATTTTCCTGTGGGTGTGTCTTTTCTCCTCCAGCCCAGTGCCTGGTTTCCCTGCTCAGCAAGCTTCTGCATCTGGGGGTCAGGACTGGGGACAGGGCGGGGACAATAAGGTGAGCGGCCCCTCCTCTCAGCCAGGGGCAGGGCTGCAAGGTCACATAGGGCCATCAAGTAGAGCTGCCATTTTCCTTTCTGGCTCATTTTGTGCAAAAGATGGCTTGACACCCACAAAACAAATGCCTCGGGTAGGGATGGCAGTCTTGGATGCAGTTCTGTTTAGGTATGGTTGGCCAGGGAAGGGCTGAGAAGTGGGACTACTTTGTGTGGCAGTGATGGGTGGGCACGACCTACCATCCACGGTGACTTGGCAGGAGCACTCAGCCTGGCCGGCACCATTCTTGGCTATGCACTTGTATACGCCTCTGTCCTCGGGCAATGCCTTCTCGATGGAGACAGAGCACAGTGAACCTAGGAAGGAAGAGGAAGAACCACTGAGTGGACCCAATATAAGCCCAATACCTGCCCTGGGACCTGGGACATGGCAGGTGAATGTTATTCACATGGATAGCCACTGGGAGCCCAGAAGTCAGACGTCCTGTGGGAACCAACCCTCTCTCCCTACCAAGGGTCAGGGTAGTTTTTTCTGATAAGCCAGGTCCAAAATAACTGATCCCTAAGTATATTTCCTCCTGGTACCCTCTTCCCAAATTCCAGCAAGCTCTCTTATAGGACATAATGGAAAGGCACAGAAGAAAAGAGCAAAATAATATCAGCTTTTGGAGAGCATCCAATACAATAGAAGGAGCAGAGGGACCCTGGACCTGCACCCTGGCATGTCACCAAGAGAGATAAGTAGTAGCCAGGCACAGGTTTATAGACCCATGTTAGGAACAGTGGCAGGTGAGGAGGCTCCGCCCAGCATATAGCAATTATTTATTCTGGGAATCTTAGAAAAGGGAGTCCTGAACAAAGAGGTGGGTGAGAGAGGCAGGGGTCCCTGTTGAGCAGGAACACTGACCTGTGGGAAGGTCTGCTGGGAGAAGGAGGGAACTATAGCCTGGGACCCTGGAGCTAGCTTCTCAGGAATAGTATCTGAGCTGAGAAGCACGGCCAACGAGGGGCACTGGGCTGGGAGAGGGGCACTTTGGGGCATCTCCCTTCAGTGCAAGGTCTTTTGGTGACCTCAGAGAGGGGTAGAGTCTCTCCACCCCAGCAACCTCTTCTGGCCTGGTTAGGGAAAGGAGAAGCCAGGCTGGGCACACACAGGAATCAGGGGTCTGGTCCCTGCCCACCCTAGCTCTCTCACTCCAGAGCGGGCTACTTCCCTGGAGTTCCCCCCTTGGGGGATTTCCCTCAGGATGTGGGGAGAGGCCAGCTGAGGGCTGGGACTGCTGGGCCAGGCAGGAGGGCAGTGGCACTGGAGTTCCTGCCTTCAGACACACAAACAAGTCAACAGCATGGCGTCCTGCCCAAAGCTGCCCTGTTGTCAGGGCGGCAGTCATTACAAAAAAGAGGAGGACAGAGCCAGGGCCACGTGCATCCTGCTGCCTGGAGCCACTGGCTCCAGCTACTCCACTCCCCCTGCCAATTGCTCAATATAAGCCACCGGCCCTGTGTGGACAGAACTGTGTGCATCCCGGGCGTATGTGCGGGGCAACGTGGCCAGAAGGGAGGTCAACAGGCACTGCTCCCAAAGGGTCTTTGATCTCAAAAAGTACCCTCACCCCCATTAGGCAGAGGCACAGACTTGAGAGCAATGAATACAAGGGTATTCAGAGAACCTCACTAAGGCTAGAAAGGAAGGCAGAGGCATTTAACAGTTCTCTTTGCTTCTTGGCACCTGGCTTATGTCTGAACAAGGAAACCTTAGTCCTCCGGACCAACTCCCTCCTATTCATATAGACCTTACCTCTCAGGAAAGGCCTCCCTACATTCTCCCACAGGGGAGGGCAAGGGATCAGGATCTCTTCTCACTGTAGTTAGGAGACAGAATTTGCAGAAACTGCAACAGAAAGGGCTCAGGTTGGACTCACTCTCAGGGAGAGTGAGACCGTGAGGCACAGGAATCTGGGATTGAGGGTGACTGTCCTCTCTAGAGAGGACCTTCCACTCATCCGAGAGGGCAGGGGGCTGCTAAGATGACCTCTGGCATCCTGATTTGAGGCTTAGGGGAAACACACCCCCTTTTGTCACTTCCCTTCAGTCTGAGGCTAAGGCTCTGGGAGCAGACACCCCACTCCCAGTACATATCCTGCTTGGATCCCTGACTGTGCTTCAGCTTCAGTCCCCTCACTGCTTTCAGCCTTAAGCCCAAATGGCACAAAGTGCAAAGACATTGGTGAGACCACCAGGAGAAGTTGGGGCGGTTAGACCACAGCCCTCACCCCCTCACCAGGGAAAGTAGCAGAACAGGCAGCTCATCAAGCCTCCCAAAGCCTGGACCCCTGGCCATGTGCTTGTGCTTGCGTGGGCTGGGGGAGGGCCCCCAGGCAGGCCTGGAGGCCCGGCTAGCCCAGATTGAAGAATCTGGTATTTCCTGTGGGACAGCTTATTCCTGACCTCCAGAAGAAAAACCGTTTCCCAGAGTTTTTTTTTTCCGAGAAGCCTCAGCCTGGTGGGGAATTGTGAGGGAGGTGAGGGGGATGGTAGCAGTCACCACAGAACCAAGTATCCAATAAATGGCTCAGCTAGAACTGTCCCTGGGAGAGCCCCTCATGGCCATGGAGTCTGAGGTCTCCCATCTTGCTCCAAGTGTGTGCGAGAGAGGAGAGGGGGTGGGGGGTGGGGGGGGGGTGTGTGCAGGGTGAGAGGGGGTGGCCCAAAGCCCTAGAGGCTGTGCTCTGAGGATACCCTCAGTGGGCAGTGCCTCCCCACCCTGGTCCCCTAGAACGTCTGGACAGTGCAACTTAGCTCCAGATCACCTCCTTGAGGACAGTGCCTTCCCTATCACCCATAAGCATCCCCAGCCACAGATAGACCTCTTCTGTGCCCCGAGTTTCTCTTTATCAGAGCATGTCTTCCAAGGCCACTGCTGAAACACATGTCTGTCTCCCACACTAATTCTTGGAGGGCAGTGACTGTGTCTATTACGAATCTTTTTCTTGAGACTGGAATGCAGTCATAATAAAAAAGAAAAAAAAAATTGCCATCTGAGATGACCAAGGCACATTTCTGTAGCAGGTGATCTGGGAGGATCTATGCAAGACAAAGTCATGAACATTTAGTCAAATATAACCTACCATTGAAAAAGATAAGATAGTTTCTGAAAGGAAAAAATTCCTACATCAGAGTTCTTCAAATGGATTATGCATATAACAATGTTGCCTTGCATATTGCATTTATGCACTAGGATGCATAAATCCTAGTGTTTTGTACGATGAATTCACATAGGTTTTTTAAAAAGCCTTTGCAAGATCTCACATTAAAGGTGATTAAAAACGAATCATCAGTTGACAACGGCAACAAAAATAAATTCTCGTATTAGCCTAGGAGACATGTTTGCCAGGGAAAGAAGCCTGGCCTGGGGACAGGAAACAGGGCATAAAGATGAAAACACTTCTCAGGAGCAGTGTAGAGCTCCCCTTGGCTCACTGGCCATCCCTCCCAGTCCTCAGCCAAGGCCAAAGCCTGAGGAGCATGGCTGCAGGCCTGAAAGGGCCTGGTGTCATCCCTCCACAGGCCTGGAGGCCAGGCCAAGCCACCATAAGTGGCCACCATCTGCCTGACAGCTCTGGGGGATGCAGGGAGGGGAAGGGTGCCTCTACATGTCCCTTCAAGAATTAGCAGTCAATGCCAGCCGACTCGTTACACACCTCTTCTCTCCTTGGTGCTAAATGGGGGGAACAAAACCCTGTTTTTAGGGGGCCTGGAGGCTATAAGCCCTATCCAAGCCACAGGGGTTCAGAGAAGCCCCCTGAAACCTGTAAACACAGCAGTAGGGTGTAGATGTATGTGCGGACCGTACTCAACGAGGAGTCTCTCGTGGCCAAAGGCTGGTGACAATGGTCTGGCAAGACCTAGAGGAAGCAAATTTTGATCTTAGATGACAACAGCACAGGATTCAGAGCAGTGAAGGAAGAAGGATTCCAAGCCAGTGAGGTGGGGGGCAGAGAGGATGCAGAGTGGAGTGCAAAGGACAGGGAGACCCCCTTAGCCACTCCCTCCACCTTCACCCCCAGACCACCTCAAACCACCAGCTTCCTTATTTCCATCAATGTCAGTAGAAATGTGACCCCAGTCACCCAGACACTGGCACACAGTGGTCTTCCACTCCTTCCTCTTCTTTATCTGCCCCCTGCTCCCAAGCCAGGCAACAGGATCTATTAGCTCTGTCCTTGCTTCTTGAACTGGTTGTTTCCTGTCTGTGCCATGGCTGCCTTATTATATTAGCCCAAGCCTTGCCACCTTTCTCCCTGACCTCTTCAGTAGGCTCCTCACTTGTCTTTGGGTAGGGAGTCAATCAAAACCCCTAAACCCTTACCCTAGCTTTGTGTGCACTGCTCCTCATTCCACATTCTTACATGGCTCCCTACTGCCTTGAGGATTGAGCTCTTTAGCATGATATAGGATGGCATGGGACATGCCTTCCTCTCCAGCCGAGCCCATGCTGTGAGCAGATCTGCCTTTGCTGATGCCAGAGCCCCTGCCTGAGAAGCCCATACCTCCCCTCCTTTGCCTGCCATGGGTCCTGGCCCAGCTCATTCAGCACCAGCCTTTCCTGTGGCCCCAGCACTCAGCTCCTTCTTCTATACCTACTAGCTCAACTTCAGCACTTGGCTGGAATAGTTTTATCACTGTGAGTGTGTGCCCCCTCTTTCCAGATCTATGGAGAACAGATCCACTCACACCTCCCAGAGTGCCCTGCTCCCTGCAGTGGGGCCTGCTGAAGTGGTCACTGATAAGGCTTTCTTCCTGGGGTCTGTGTCTAACCCAGCCTCTTGAAGACGTAGAGGGAGAAGCTCTAGAGAAGGGACGGACCGAAAAACGGGATGGTATTTTTAAGACCAGGCACTCTCCCTACCGTGGCAAGGCAGACAGGCCCATGTCAAGGTCTGCTTCCTCCACTGCAGGGAAAATGCCAGAAACCTGGCAAGCCTAGAGGGCACTGCCAGTCTTGCAGCCTCTTGACAACTACTGACAGTGTCGAGGAGTAAATAGCCATTAGTATTTTCTCCTGACGGACAACGCTCTGGGTGAGTGCATCATGAAAGGTTTCTCAGCTGTACCAGTGTGCTGACTCCTAACAAGAGTTAACTATGAGGTAAGACGGCATGGAGGTCTAGGCGCCTGAACTCAGCTGCCTACCTTCAAATCCGAGCTCTGTCACTAACCTGTTGCCCAATCTCGGGCAGGACACCTCACTTCTGGAAACGGGCAGGATTAAAAGAGTGAAAAGCGTAAGATGCCTAGAGCAGTGTCTGGCACATGGTGTTTGTTCAGTGTGTGCAAGCTATTCTTAAGTTTTCAAAGGAGAATTACAAATATTTAGAATATTTTTAAAAGTTGGACTTGGGGCTGTCTCTACAACCCCTTCCTATCCACCTCCCTTAGACCTTCTCTATCCACTCCTTGTGCTGGCCTTCTTAATCATTTCTTCTTCCTCTGATTTGGACCTAAACTGTCCCTTTGAGGTGACAGTTTCTATGGGAGGTGATACCGGAGTAGCTGGGTCTCTACACCCTTTAATGCTCAGTGACAGGCGATACCACATGCTCAAGACCCTCTGGACACGAGCAGCCAGGGTCTAATGGCTCAGGCGTGTTTCTGAGACCAGAGCTGAGGTCTGCTTACACTGCTCAGTCAAGAAGGCTGTATATAAGCTACTATTAGGGACCCTGCAGGTTCCACACAGGTCTCCTTTGGGCACTGCCCTCAGCTATCTGAACACTGGCTTCCCTGAGGCTGGTGTGGCCATGGGCCTCATGTTGTGCAGGCCTGTGTGACCGCACATGTCCCAAGGGCGGATGGCTACCCACCTTCTATCCTTCCTGGAGAGATCACCACAGGGTAGCCTGGGAAATGTTCCCAGTCAGGGTTTCAGATCAGTTCTACCAAAGGCTTTCCAACTGGGAGGGGCCCACAGGGGTGACAGGGACAGCTGTGACATCCACTCCCCTGGACATCGTACCTCACTGTGGTGATTCCCCCATGCCCACCTGTGTGTGGACCACAGGCAGGCTGGACTAGCAGAGGCAAGGTGGGGGTGTGTGTGTGTGGATGAGATGCCTTCCCGAGGACCCTGCCAATCTGGAGATAACCACATAAAAACATTCTCCTATCAACACAGCAGCAGAAAATAAAACACTTTCTCTCTCCTGGTCAACTTCCCCTTTACTCTTTTAGCACTTAGATTCAAAACGCTCAGCTGCTCCAGATTTGCTGACTGAGTTACAGGATAAAGAGAGAAATTTTACTGTGGGCTGAGAGGGATACTGCTTTCTCCAAATGCTCCTCCATTCGCCTTTCATGAGGAAGGAAGAAGCCTGATGGAGGGGGCAGTGGGGGAGGGGAGAGGGGTGTGCAGTCAGAGGACAGAAAGGGGAGCAGCGCAGTTGGGGTTGTTTGTGACATCTCAGTGGATCAGGACTCATAGGACCTGTCCACCTGGGCCTCTGCTTGGCTGCCGCCCTCTACCTCTTAAGGGTAAAATGCTATTTCCTGGGGAGCATTGTGCCCTGTTCTGTCCCGAGCCACCAGCATCAGCCTCAAGCTCGGGCCGGGCTCTGTTCCAGCGCTGGCCACCAGAGTGGGGTGTGGGAAGTCTGCTGGACTCGGAGCTCCCCTACAGCCTTGAGATGCTTGGCTGAAACATTTCAAACCAAATTGAGGGTCCAGGGAAAATGTCCCTCTCACCCCCATCTCTTCTCTAGGTATAAACTGACCCATCTCAGAATTCCAGACCCTGAAAGGCCCCAGATGTCAGGATTTAGTGCCCCCCCCATCCCCATAACCCAAGAATGTGAAATACCAGCAAACAAAAGTCTCATCCAAATTAGGAAGCGAGTGGCTCTGTCCGCCCAGGAGTGTGTGCCGTAGGGGCTGTTTGGGGTTTTTGGCTTCTCCGACAGAGCCCTTCAAACCCACAATGTTATCAAGTCTTAAGTTGTTGTTGACCCCAAACCATAGTCCTGTGCCACCCCGTCAGTGCACACCCTTCTCCTAATCCAAACTGCTGCTGCAAAAGCAGCTCTCAGCTCAGAGCCGCTGGTGGGCTCCAGCCCCAGGGTCCTGTCACGTCCACGCACACAGCCCTCTCCACACCAGAGCTGTGGGGCACGAGCTCAGGCCCAGGGCAGCTCTGAAGAGCCACAGCTGGGGCTGCCCTGAGGCAGCTCTGCCAGACAGACGCCAGGACTTGGGCACGTGCCACAGGACCAGCCACCCACCTCTCACCGCCCAGAGACGGAGTGTGTGCCCGAGGGCCCTGAGTAGGGCGCCTGTCTTGTCAGCGAGGGGGCACAGAGGCTGGGCATTCCAGCCCAGGCTCTGGGCTGCAAATGGCAGTCAACAGGCCCAAGGCTCCATGAGCCTGCAGTGGCCCTGGTACAGAGCCCCCTTCTTCCCAGCCCTCGCCCTTGTTACCTTCTTGGGAGAGGACGATAAACTTGGTGGTCTTGAGTGTCTTTCCATTCAGCGTCCAGGTGATGGTGGCGGGGGGGTCAGAGGACACCTGACACTGGAGTAGCAGCTTCTGGCCCTCCATCACGTGGACATCTTGTAGCTTCTCCTTGAAGGTTGGGGCTGTCCCATGGCTCTCTGATCTGCTTTGATTATCTGTGGCTCCTGCATGCCCCCTCTTGCAGTTCACATCATTCTTAACCTCCTTCTTGAGTTCTTCCTTCCCAGCTGTTTTTCCGGTCTCAGCAGGCTTGGCGTTGCCCACGGATTTCGGGGTCTCAGCCGGCTTGGCATTGCCCATGGATTTCGGGGTCTCAGCAGGCTTGGTGGCACTAATGGATTTCGGAGTCTCAGCAGGCTTGGCGTTACCCACGGATTTCGGGGTCTCAGCAGGCTTGGCGTTGCCCATGGATTTTGGGGTCTCAGCAGGCTTGGTGGTGCTCACGGATTTCGGGGTCTCGACAGGCTTGGTGTTGCTCACAGGTTTTGGGGTCTCAGCAGGCTTGGCATTACTCAAGGGTTTCAGTGTCTCAGCAAGCTTGGCGTTATCCACGGGTTTGGGGGACTCGGCAGGCTTGACGTTGCCCAGAGGTTTTAGGGTCTCGGCAGGCTTGGCATTGCCTGAGGGTTTCAGGGACCCTAAAGCCTGGGCATTGCCCACAGCCTTTGGACTTTCTGCTGCCTTGGCATTCAAGGCCTCGGCATTGTTGCTACCATTCTCTGCTGGTAATTTTTTCTTGCTGCCTAACACTGAGCGGAAATCTGGGGTGGCGGGTTTCGGAAGCGGTGCCTTCTCAGGGACCGGGGTCTTAGGAGTCCCCTTCTTGGCCAGAACCGAGCGGAAGTCTACCTGCTGAGGGCTATGCACCTTCCTCTCTTCCTCTGACACAGTCTTTGGCTTCACTTGCCGTTGCAGGTTGGCACGGAAATCCATCTGCTCGGCTGGGATCTCCTTTAGGTGCTCTTCTGACACGCTCTTGGTGCTCACCTTCTTCCCTAGGAGGTCACGGAAGTCCAGCTGTTCCACCTCCTGCTGGCGGATGGCCTCCTCCGTGTGCTGCCGGGTCTCCACGCGTCTCTTCAGCACTCCCCGCACGTCCTCACTGTCTTCCTCCTCCGGCCAACCCTGCCCTCTTGCTGGCCAGCCGGGCCTCAGGGTCCCATAGCGGTCACCGCCACCACCATCAGCACTGGCTCCCCGGCCACAGAGGCCCTCACAGCTGGCAGGCTCCCTCCCCCTGCAACCAGTGAAGGGAAAAAAGGAAAGTAGCAAGAGGAAAAGGGGCCGGGTAAGAACAAAACGTCAGGGGAGAGCAAATCCCTGAGGGAGGGAGGGTAAAGGGGAGGGAGAAGGGGAGGTTGGGGCTGGCCAGGCTGTGTTTATAGAAGGGAACATTGGTGAGAGGCTCTTGCTTGCTTACTTGGTTTGTTACATCGGTAATGACTTCAGTAGCCTTATAAGG